AATTTTGAAAACCCAACATGGAAGAGGAAGAGATCAGACACAAAATTAAAGCCTGGAAAACACTTCTAAGAAAATTTTGTTTTTAAAGACAGAAAATTTAATTCAGCAATTTCATAATAAAAGCCAGTGATACTTTTTAGTTGTAAGTCTCCAAAAACAGCTGCTATGCTGCTTACACAAAAGCAGCTTATGAGACTCCGCGTCAAAATTTATTTATTAGTGTAAAAAGAAAGTTTAACGTGGAAAATTGGGCTCATTACGAAAAAAGTGTAACTTTATAAACCACTAAAGAAACCTGTGGTTGTAAAAGATGAGGTGGCTGGGTTCGCGCTGAATCAGGGTCAGGAGGGCTAACAAGATCTAATATGGATACCGGACTTGGAAAATTTTGATGTGCTTCTAGCGGTCCAGTAGGAGAATACTGAATCAACCTAGCAGTGCTGCTGAGCTTAGGCAAAGTTATATCCAAAGGCTTATCAACATTTACTAAAAAAAATTTTAATGTGCAGAAGCAGTTAGAAGTACAAAGTAAGCAAAGTAGCGTAAAATTTTTGAAAAGTTTTAAAATTAGAGAATCTCAGAAGTAGTAAAAAATGAACTGCTAGAACTCCAAAAACGATGAGTTAAATTTACTAGGCTTTTTGATATCCGTAATATGACGTGTAAACAAATGGTTTGAATTCTGATCATATCCCTCTCGAACCGAAGCTTTCAACCTTCGATGAATCTTTATAAATTCCGGTTCCTCATTTTCATCAACGTACGACCTAGTCAAACTGACCGACCCACGTGGTGTTGCAGAATGGGACCTAGGAGGTCGCCGGACAACAGCTCCAGCCTGGAGTTGAACAAATTGGCCAAATTACGTTGTTTCTCCAAAACACCACAAATAGCAAAAAAAATTATTCCAACAGGTAAAGAAAATGTTGATATGAGGAGGAATAAATGACACATTCTAAGGGTTTTTTGGAAACTCACATTATTTTTGGCAGAAACAAATGCTTTTGCCCTGCTTGGGCGTTCAAATTTTTCTTTCAAAGCAGTAATTGGAATCCCCGCTTGGTTTCGCTGAAACATCTGATCTCTTACGTCTGAAGTTATCATCGCTCCCGAAAAGCCAGCCCAAATGTGCAAGTTTTCCGGCTCCAAATTCGAGTTGTTGGAAACGCTACATATATTTTGCCCCTGCAAATTTTCTTGTATTCATAATCATAAAGTTTGATAGATGTGAAAATCTTTTTTTTAGCTACTCAAATCATTTTCAACTACACAAGCAAAGACGAGCGTTAGTTAAGATCTGTACAGCAGTGTAACAACCAAAAAAAAAATCAACCTATGTAACAGATAAAGTAATTTCCTCTTTTAAATTACAATCAAACAAAAAAAATTCAAAAGTCTAATACTTCTATAATCCTTGTGGAAACTCTAAATAACTCAAGTCTCAACTGAAAATGCTTAAAAAGGACAGAAAGACAAGAAATGGGAACGCAAGACCGATAAATCAAAAACTTATTTTATACGGAACATTAGCTTTACTTTACCGTTTCAAAATAATCATTAGCGAATCAAATTTGAATATTCTGCTCCTTGGGTTTGTCAGAACAAATAATTATTTAACACAGATTGTACAGATGTGTCAGAATCTGAGGTAAAATTTTAATGCTTTCAAACAAGAAACAGTTTGAAGCCATTAAAAAAAGTTATCACAATGACAAACAAAGAGGATTAAACAAACTTTTAAATTAAGTCAAATTTATTATAAAGCATCATTTTCTAGCAATGGCAACAGAAACGAAAAAAAAAAAAGCAACAATAATAAGACGGAATACAAACAGCCAATAAATTTGCGTTAGCAGACAGTTTACAGAAATACAAAAAATTTTTTCTCACCTTATCTTGTTGCTTTTTAGGCAGTGTTGACTGTGCAGCCCATAGATCGCCGCCAACAGCTCCGCTGTATCTACAAATATCCAACAGATGAGAAAAACATACACATATCAATTTTTTCTTCCTAAACTATCAAAATTTAAACAATACATCCTTTTATCTTCTTTTTCATTTGTCATTACTTCTACTATAACGTCTGAAATTTGTTTTTCTTTTTTACTTCTAGTCACTTTTTTTTTTTTTCTTGAGGGGGGGGGAGGGGTGATGAGATGGTAGGGAGAGGGGGAAGAAATTGAACAAGAAAAAGTGACATTGACATCAAAAAAGATCCATGTGTGAAAATGATACTTTCAAAAAGTATAAACGTATTACATCGAAAAAAAAACTAGTTGTGACGACATTGTACCACTGATACCAACCCTCATATTAATGATGCCAGTTATATAGCCGACTGACAATTTTTTTCCTTTTTGACAAATTTAAAACAAGATCTTTTTGTATTCAAACTGACATTGTAAAAGAAAAAAAAAAAACTGTATGAAACTTTTCTTTTTTTGCTTAGCAGCCATAAAACAATCAAAAAATTTATAAGAAGTTTAAAAAAAAGCTATTAGAGCGGAAGAAGGTGGAAGGGAGCGAGAGAAGAAATGAAAAACAGCTTAAAAACTAAATCAAAAAAAAAAGTTCAAATAAAATTTTGAACCTGATTTAGAAAAAAGAAAAAATTTTTCAAGACTTTTACATCTAAGACAAAAGTCTAAGACAAAAAATTTGCCCAACAATTTTACGTTATTCAACTGTTATATCAGTTTAAACGAGAAAAGTTTGAAAAATGAATGAAACAAACATCAACATAATTGACGTCGTACTCCAACAAAGTCAAATTTTCTATCTGATGCTACAAAAAAAAACACAAATAAGATCAAACAAACATCATTCTCCCCTCCAAATAAGCACACACACAACAAGCAACGCTAAGCCAACGTTAGCAGACAATAGCTGACTGTAATAACGATGATGGTACCCCACAGGCAAAAAGTCAATGAATGAATCGAGGGGGGATAAATTTAAAATACTGTACCGTATAGCAACAAAAAAAAACTCACAAATTCCTTTATATGGTAAATAAAATCATATTTATATTCAGGCAATAAAAAGGGAATATTCATAAAAAGCCAATAATTAATTTGTACAGTTAATTGCAGCTATATAAATACATAAATTTTGTTTCCCTATCGATGGTTAATAATCAGTGAAAAAAAAAAAAAAGAAATTTGACAATCTATTTTAACCAAACTGTTCTCGGATCAAATATCATTTGTAACTCTCTAATCTGTTGTCGCTGAACATTTTCGGCAAAAAAAGAAAAAAAAAAAGAAGAATTAAATAACTAAAAAACATTCTAAAATATTCTGTTCCTAGCCTGATTAATTGTGAATACAACAACTGGATGACAATGGTTTATTTGTACATTATTCTGTTGTGATATTATCACCATTATTCTACTTAACATATACAACATTTATGCGTCACTTTTTTTGAAATGTATTTATGTATATGTGTGTGTGTTCTAAATGCAAATGAGAATAAAAAAAAAAAACGGGCTGGAAGTTTGATGTTATATGTGGCTAAAATTTAAAACTTTAGTTATTCTTTTCTTTCTTCTTCTACTTTTTTTTTTTTTTAATGTATTGGTGCTATATTAAACTGAAGAAAAATTGCTAATGGTATGCTTAATATAAATTCTTTCATTCGTCGATTTTTGTCACTGTTTTGATTTTTGAAAACTGTTGGATAAAGCATTTTTTTTTTTTTTTGTTGCCGTTGAACACATAAACATACCGATGAGTGACCAAATTTGTTGACGCACGATTATGCGAACTATTCGATAATATATCATCGACTGAAGGAAACCGTTTTCTCGTTGTATGCGGAGAATAACGTGCCGTCGATGAGACTTCTTGCGATAGCTGAGTAAATTTGGCTGTTAATTTTTGCACAATTCCGGGACCATATTCAACATCTGCAGTCATTAATTTATCACATTTTCAATAACATCCAAATTAATAGTGAGGGAGAAAAAAAAAGAAAACAAAATAACGAAGAAAAAAGAGTAGTGTACCTTTCTCTTCTCCTTCTTTCCCTTTTTCTCTTTCATCTTTTATATTTTATTTGTTTAATTTTTTATTTTAAACAATTCAAAGCTTTTAAACGTCATTAAAAAAAATAAAAGAAAAAGATATAATTTAAAAAAACATTAAAAAAAGGAACGAAGTTTAGAAAATAAAAAAAAACTCCAAATTTTTCAACGCCCCAAACGTCTGTCAAACCACAAATGCTTTCACGTTACAGCAATATTTCCATACAAATCCGGGTTTACAGGTCTTACACTTCAAATACATAACTCATTTGTGGGCTCGTTTATTGCTTCACACAAATATAAGTAAACATATA